AATTAATTAATTAAAAAATTCAATATATTGAACAAGCCTACGCCTCACTGGTGCTAAGTGGTTACCGAAAACCATAGATATAACAACATCAATGTCGCAATTGCATTATGTAACAGCTACCCCACCCTTTAAACTGGAACGCATGACTGCTTCGCGTCAAAAATAACCAGGATGGTGGCACCCGAGCCAACAATCCGCCCTACTAGTAAATACGAGATTACGCAATTTCGCGAGCAATTACAATATAATACCTAATGTTCATATTTCACTTTGGAATAATCAACTATTCCTGTATGTCTTTTTTACCTATTACACATTGTATAAAAATAAGCAGTAAAATTCCGGTTATTCCCTTAAATTGTGTGTTCATAAGTACGTCGTCTACATATTAATACGTAAAGCAAAAACTTTGTATCCCTTTTTACGAAAATTGCGCGGACGGAGGATTATGAAATTTCCCACCCTCATAGAGAATATAGAGAAGGAGTGCAGAATGCTAATATTTTCTTCATTATGCATAGAAAATACATTAAATCAATTAAAAAAAACATTACACACTACCATGTATTTAATACACACACGCATATATACTCTTTTGTTTATTGTTAAAGTCTGTAGTCAAATTGAAAATGATTAATATTGTTTGGCTTTGCCTTGGCGAAATCTGTGATTAAATAAGTTAACTCTTTAACTATAGAACCATAATCATGTTCAAAATTATAATTTAAATTAATAAGATAGTCGAATTTCGACTATTGGGTGTCCACTAGTACAATTAATTGGCTAAATAACTTAAAACAAAAATTTTGTTATCGTGTTGTAGAAGTATTATGTTATAAGGAGGGTTTTGCGGAATTTTTTTTCGTGTTAGAGTGGAATCGTGTTATAAAATACCTTGTTCAAGGAAGGTTACATGTATTTCTAAAAAATAATAATTTATTTAAAGGTCTTACCGTAAATGAGTTGCTCTAAGAAAACAGTCTATTCATGTTCATACCCAACGAAGGTGAAACTTCGCAAACACATTTTTCTTCGTTTTTTATTATTTATATCTCAAATTTTATCATCCATTTTTCTTCTAGTAAATACTTTTTTTGTTATTCGCAACGGCTTCAATCAGATAATCATCGCGTACTGGCAAATATCACTCTAGACACCCGCTGTTTATTCTTTTATTGGGCTTTGAATGTTCCACGCCGATAACTTGATTTCCGGGCTCGACGAATATTTTTGCATATTTTCATGATGCTTCCGTTTTCTTCAGTTTCTCTATTGAATTTCCGCTGACGGTACAAACTCGAGTACGGCGATGAGCGGCGCTGAAACTTAATGATCCGTTCGATAGTAACGTGACTCGAGAATATATTATTATTTTTGTCTTTTTCCAGCAATATTCGCATATTGTCGAACGTGAATGTCGAATAACTTTTTTATACCTACCTATTCGCTAGTAGTCTATTCCGGCTATGCCCGGCCGGGTTGGTGAGTTCACGGGCTCAACCTGAGAGAATCTGCTAACATTAGCCGAATCGGAATCGCGGTCCACTGAAACTAAGTGGGCTAATCGAACAACGAATCAGCCGAGTTGTATGTGTATCGCAAAATTCCAAACGTAAACTATTCTAAGGTTTATTTATGACTTGAATATTCTAACATTGTCTTTTATTTATTTATTTATACGTCTAAAAATAAATGAGTTTCTTGCGTGAACTCTCACAGAAATTCACAAGTCTTTCATTAATAGCTTAATTAAAAGTTCGAAAAACACATGTTCAGTACTTAGCATCTGATGAAACTTGAACTTCCAGCACTAAATTATAAGGTAATGGGAATGGTTTTTTTTATTCATGTTACTACTAATTGTACATTCACGTATCTATAATTTTTTTTTTATAGCTTAGATGTGTGGTCGAGCTCACAGCCCACCTGGTGTTAAGTGGTTACTGGGGCCCATAGACATTTACAACGCAAATGCGCCACCCACCTTGAGATATAAGTTCTAAGGTCTCAGTATAGTTACAACGGCTGCCCCACCCTTCAAACCGAAACGCATTACTGCTTCACGGCAGAAATAGGCAGGGTGGTGGTACCTACCCGTGCGGACTCACAAGATGGCCACCACCAGTGTAAATATAACTATAACTGTAACCATAAATTTGTATCCTAATTAAAATTAATCATAACTTTATCCATCTTATTCTGAACCTAAGTTCCTAAGTTTAAAACTGGAATAAAAAATCTTTGATTCATTAATTTCTTTGATTCTTTGATAAATTAATTTCTATAAAGAAATTTCTATAAAGAAATTAATTTAATTAAAAAACGGTCAATTATTAAAAAAGAAAACAATATTGTACCGGACTCAATATCTAAAGGGACTTCCTGAATCACAAGAGTTGACGTCAGATCCCAGGACAATATAGAAGCGAGACTACAATCTAATATCTTCGCAATATTGTCTCTTAATGATAGAATGTAGGCACCGCACGTGATGCGACTCGATAAGCCTCTGTTCATTATATTAGCCAGTTTATAGCGGTCTCTTAGTAAATAACGTATTATATTCATACATATATGTATTTATTAAATAGCGCTTTATATACATTGAGATTATAATATAATACTAATTAGGTTTAGTGTTGCGACAAAAAAAAAATGGTAAATTTCAATATGCATAGTGTTTGATTAGAATTGCAGTAATCGAATCTGTTGTAAATTGATAGTAAAAATATGGATTCGTAATCGTAATTCGTAATGAATTCGTATACTAATATTTTAAAGCTGAAGAGTTTGTTTGTTTGAATGCGCTAATCTCAGGAACTAATGGTTCGATTTGAAAAATTCTTTCAGTGTTAGATGGCCCATTTATCGAGAAAGGCTATAGGCTATATAACATCACGCTAAGACTAATACAAGCGGAGCACCAATAAAGAATGTTTCAAAATCGGGGCTATTTTTACCTTTTAAGAACTTCGGCTACGTACGCTGCAGAAACGGTTAAAGTTTCGCTAAAAAAATGTAGGACAGAATTGTTCTAGGTTTGTGGTAGGATCTCTTGTGTCCGCGCGGGTGGGTGCCACCGCCCTGCCTATTTCTGCCGTGAAGCAGTAATGCGTTTCGATTTGAAGGGTAGGGAAGCCGTTGAAACTGAGCTTGATACCTTAGAACATATATCTCAAGGTGGGGGGCTTAATTACGTTGTAGATGTCTATAGGCTCCAGTAACCACTTAACACCACGTGGACTGCGAGCTCGTCCACCCACCTAAGCAATAAAACTAAACATATGGCTTTAAAAAAAAATTAATATAATTATAACGCATTCAATTAACTCGTGGAATCAACGGTCTCATAAATATATAAATCATATATTATATTAGTAGATACCTATATCTATTATTTATATAGCCTTAATATCTGTTACTTATCTGTTAAAAATGCTGTATCTGTTGGTCTAGAATAGCTCTACGTTATTTCGACCCGTGGGTGTCGTAAAACGTTATTACGAGATTCACCGGAGAAACGACAGAAAAGTCCTCTTCATATTGCCATCTTTAACCGGCATTTGCTCGGGGTAGAGGGTATTGTAATTTGGAACGGGTAGGTACCACCATCTTGCCTTTTTCGCCAGCGAAGCACTCATGCTTTTGGAATTAGCGATTCATAGCACAGCTGATATTTTCGCTTCATGTCTCAACGCAGATGGCGGCGATCTCATGATGTCTGTATATAAGGAATGGGTGAGAGACAAACAAAAAAGGAATGGTTATTTTCATTGATGAAAATTTTTAGTGCGTAAAAATAATATCAGTTGAAGATCTTAGATGTCAGAATATTTCAACTATTAAAGGCGATTAGAGGTTAAAATAATATAAACGAAGGTATCTCAATGTTCTTAGATTGATAAAATGTGTATGGCCAAACTTGGAAGATCAAAGAAAATCTATGTATTTCCTAGGATTGCTTAAATACAAAACGATTTCTTTTATCTGGAGTCCTTTGGAATAAATAGCTGGTAGTCTTTGGGCCTTGATACTTTTATAAAAGGACCACGTTCTTATCACGAAGTTGATACTGTCGTAAATTGAAAATATGGAGCCTTTTGTCACTTCTTTGTCCGGGTACAGTGTATCGTGTTTCACTATTTTTACTTTTATCCCGGTATTAAGGTTGGGTAAAAGTTTTGCCGCCGCTGTATTTATGACACTACAGACTGTCGGGTTCTGTACAAGACGGCACGTTGCACTAAATTTGTGAAGCTCTCGGTTTACCAGCTTTCCACAGCTTTAAATAGTTTCAATAATCTCAATGAAACAAAAACAAAATCAGAATTCAAATATTTTATTTCCAATATAAAACAAAAGAATACAATAAAATAAAACGTAAATGACTTAAACATTATCACAAAAAAATAAACTTTTCGAATATTATTCATATCACAAAACAATGACTAAGAAGATGAAACTAAAACAATCAGTCGAAAATCGAAGCTCGATGACAATGTATTTATTAATAAGATTACTTACATTATAATGGAGTTTTAAATATTATATTACTTGAGTAAGTCTCATATGAATCATACTTATATCGCGATGAGACGAAAATAGGTAGATACGTCCAGATTATACACTATATAATTTTTTAAATACGTTTACTTAAAAAAATTAAAGTATCCGACTAGTGTATAGTATGCACATACGAGTACACACATATGTAAGTGTGAGTGCACACATGTATAATTTTAAGACTGTGATGACAACTTTATCATTAAGGTATTTTTCTGACCACTTTGTCACATAAACTTGAATCATTACTATCGTAGAAATGTTTACAGTGTAAATCAATATTTTTATTCTAGAAAATTATTTAATAAGAGACTATGATGATATGTAGCTATACCTATATGTAAGTAGATTGACTGTACTTCCTTTAATACCATTAAATTTAATATAGAATACAGCTTAAGCTACAATATGTAGGTAAATAGTTTAAAAAAATTTATGACTTCAATTGTGAAAGAAATTAAATAAATTCAGTAGAAACAAAATATACAATTTTGATGACTTGGACGACACAAATTGATCAGTTATTTGATTTTAAAGTCAAACTACTGAACCGATTATGACGAAATGGGGAAAACGCTCAATGGAGACAAGTTGAAACTGTATTAATGAAAAAACTAACTGTAACGTAAAAAAAATTAACTGTCTTAAGTAATGAAAAATGTTTCATTTTCTAATTAGTTTATTAGAGACGGCCTTCTGTGGTAACAAACCTTCTTTTTTTGAAGTCGGATAAAAATCTTTTGATCAGGTCCAAGCACGTGAATCAACTTTAGTCAGCAAGGAATCGGACAGCTCTCAGTTCTCAAAATTGCAACGTAAACTACAAAGCTCTACTGAACAAAACTTACATTTGACGTCATTTGGGGGCAAATTATAGGACAAGTTAATTGTGGATCATACACGACTGCACAAGAATTTTCCACAATATATCAATTTAACAACATTCAATATGATTGGTGTTGTTTTTAATTTAACGTTAAAAAGTATTTATTTTAATAAATTTATTTAGTAATTTTAATAAAATCTTAAATAGATTGATGATCATTTTTATTCAATTAAAATCTCGTATAGATAATTTGATAATTTTAGATAATTTTTTACTAGAGTTCGGTTGCTTAATGACCAATTCCATGTACTCAACGTCTTTCTTGAAAAGTAAGAATGTCCCATATCATCTAGTATATTTTAATGGTTTGCAATCAAAATTTCTTTGTATATCATGTTTGTTTGTGCAAATTTTAAGCGTTCGCTTGCTATTTATTGTCTAGAATCGATTTTTTGTATGATCACTGTTGATTGCTTGCATTGTATGAGTACAATTGATAGATGCCACAACTAAATATTACAATTCATATATTTGGATCCGAATATTTTGTACATTATTTGTTTTAAAGTTTCGGAGCTAGAGATATTGCTTCATGGAACTGGTCATAAATACAAGAATGCTCATTTTATTAGCAAGAGACGTTATATTATCAATTTCCTAAAAAAATGCTTAATTTTTTTTATAACACAATTAGTTTTTCTGTCATATAATGATGTCGAATAAGTTGACTAAAATTACTAGCGTGGACGCTTATGTGTGCGTTAGATAATATATAGAAGATGAATGAGTGTTGAAGCTTATTTACATAGCTGAAAAATTGTTTACTTTTTGCTCCCGAATTTCATAATCATTATGGACATTTCAACTACCTGTTAATTGTCGTCTGTTGGTGCCCTATAATGACCAACAAATACAACTAACAGTCAAACTGAATAATCATTACAACTAAATCATTATTTTCTTAACAATGCTAAAAATTTAATGAAAATGTTATGGGTTTCGTTCTGTAAGATTATATTTAATTGACTAAGATTCTAAACAGAAGTTTTACTGGAAGCGTTAATATCGCCAATGCTTTTGACTCGTCTGTGTCTCTTCTGTTTGACGAGGGAGTCGTCTACGGACTTACTGGGTAGAGGGGAACTCACTCTGTGGGCTTGATCGGCTCTCTGTCCGTACCTTTAAAGAAAACATGTGAAAAATAAACAAAGGCCAAACTCAAAATAAAGTTCAATATCTACTACAAAGATTCATTTCAGAAGCACGACAAAAACGTGATATTGTTTTGATATATTGGCATTAGAATGGAGAATTAGAATATACTAAAAGGTGTTACATATATAGTAACATAATTGTCTCTTTGGTAAAGGGCTTATTAAGCTTTAGCACTATACACTGAGATTCGGAGTCGAGTTTTTTCATTTTATTGGCGGATGGACGAGCTACCGGACCAATTGGGTTTAAGTGGCTATCGGAACCCATAGACGTCAACAATCTAAATGCAGCCACCCACTTTGAGACACGAGCTCTAAGTCCCAGTTTTACAGTACAACGTTTGCTTCAACCTTCCAAACAGAAACGCATTACTGCTTCACAGCAGAAATCGGTAGGGTGTTTTTTTTGTTGCTTAGATGGACGGACGAGCTCACAGCCCACCTGTTTATTAAGTAGTTACTGGAGCCCATAGACCTCTACAACGTAAATGCACTAACCACCTTGAGATATAAGTTCTAAGGTCTCAGTATAGTTACAATGGCCACTCCACTCTTTAAACCGAAACCCATTACTGCTTCACGGCAGAAATAGGTAGGGTGGTAGTAGGGACCTACCCATCCGGGCTCACAAAACGCCTTACCACCAGTAAAAATACTGTTAAGTGGGTGTCAAACACGTTTGGTTTTCGAAGTCAGAGCCTTGTTTTAATTATGTTGCCGGAAGCAAAGACATACAAAATTATATCTCGGTGCCTTGAAGGAGTAAGTGTGATCGTTTGATGTTCATCTAACATACCTGTGCATGATGTTGGAATTCTCTTTGATTTCATTCAATCTTTGTAGGCTGTCCCTTGTTGAGACGCTGGATTGAGAATACAGGCTCAATGGTGTGTATATCGGTTCGTATTCCTGGAGGGTCGGCGGCGGCGCGTACTGCATGCTCAGCTGAGAGAGAGTTCGTACCGCCACAGGAGGTGAGTACGAATATGATTGAGTACCGAGACTGAGCACGCTGGAGCTCTCGCTAGAACTTGAAGGGGATGTCCGTTCGTGTTTAGGCTTAAGTACCCCTAGAGCACGAGTTATTGAGCCCTGAAAGAAAACGTCAATTAAGCATATATTAATAAGTGATTATATTTCAAAAATGAATTAAGATATACCTCTTGTGAGTCCGCACGGGTGAGTACCACCACCTTACCTATTTCTGCCGTGAAGCAGTAATGCGTTTCGGTTTGAAGACCTTAGAACTTGTATCTCAAGGTGGGTGGCGCATTTACGTTGTGAATGTCTATGGGCTCCAGTGACCACTTAACACGAGGTGGGCTGAGAGCTCGTGCATGCAAAAAAAAATATAGAAGCTACGGTATTTATTTATTATATTTGTGTTTAGTGTTCGTGGTTAGTGTTAGCTGAATAGTGATGTTGATAAAGTTTTATTTTTGTCTCGTATGTGCCTTTTGGAGGCCTTAACAAAATACACAGTTATAAATATTTATTTTTTTCCTTTCAGAGACTTTTGTGAGTCACCAACAAGAGATCCATAAATTTTCGTAAAATATACATTTAGATGCTTTAGCTAATAATTTACCCGTAGACTATGTCGCCTTGACTCTCCGCTGAGGTCAATCCCAGGTAATCCAGTGGCAACAGACCTTGAAAATGGTCTCCCCAAAATTCTTATTTGGTGGCCAAACATGTTTCTGGAATAATAAAAAAAAGCATTTCATAACTAAATTATGATAAACACGCAGAGAATACGTAAGCCAGGCAGAGCTGTTTACATCATAGAATTTGTTTTAGTTTTTTTTTCTTGGCTAGCAAACTTTCACGACTTCCGCTAACACAAAAAGCTCACATGCAGATTGTCTTTTACGGATTTGCCATATATTTAGAACTTGGCAACAAATTCAGTCTTTGTTCCTATCTGTATATATATATTTTTGTGTCCAACTGGTATCTAAAAAGATAGTAACAAAGTGAGATGAAAATTTATGTTTTTTTTTTTGCGGACACAAAAAGCATGAGGCACATTGCTCGAAATGATACGGATCATGCTCGTGAACAAATATGATCAAACAAAATAATATGAAAACACATTATTCTGTAATAAAGAACAGTACTGTAAATAGATGATCTGTATACAATTTTTTTTTTGTTTTACATTCCAGTCCTGTTCCTTACGATAATAATACGACAACATCGATAGTTTTAATCGACTAAAATAAAGGAAACTAAACGCAAGCATTATAATCACGATGTCTGAAATGAATAGTTTGATAATGAAACGTATGGAAGAAGAAAACGTGGCCAGAGATTGAATGTGCGGTCTAATGACGACAGAGGCATTCATGATGTATCGATAAAGTGATCGTTACCGTTCCGTCTTGATGCAAGGATCGCCGACTAAGGGATGATGAATAAATAATACTGACTTGACGACATGTACTTTGTGTAGTTTTCATATTATTTTATTCACATTTATAGTTCAAATGATAATACACGAGAACCTAACGTACAACGTAACTTTACAGTTTGAATATAAACAATTCAAAAACATAGACATATAACTAACTATCTTAGAGTATCGGTAAACGCTATTATTGTTATAGTCCTAAAGCTATTATTACGAATTGTTCAGAGTAATACCTTGAGGTATATATTATTGATGGAAATTTAAAACGTTCGTTTAAGAATCAAAACGGAGTTTAATCAACACGAATGTATGCCGTTTAGGTTATTATTCACCCCCTAATCGTAAAAGTGAAGCATTTAATGCTTTAATTTATCAAACTAGCTTTTGTATACATAAAATTTTACTAATTTTACGAAATCGATCGACGAGTAAACGTTAACGTGACAAATCTAATCTACGCTTTGACGGGAGCCCTAGGGGGTAGAATGTTCAAACATCGAATCTAATTTCGATAAAGGCGAACGCATAGAGAACTTGGTGAATTTTCCGACCACTTTCACGTTCCTTGATTGTCTTTCGAAAAGACGAACAAGTCTTAAAGTAACGCATCAGTCTTCACCGCTCAATTAGTTTTCGTTCAGAAGAAATGCGTGTCTCGAGAAACACGAAATAGTTACAAAACTCTAACGCAAAGTAAAACACTTTGTGTAAAAATATTAGCTACTTTACAAACATTCGATACGAGTAACTTTACATAGATACAAGATTATTATTTGGGCTTCGAAGCGATAGTTTAATTATAATTTGAAGGAGATTTTCTTAGTTTTTGTTGGTTTATCTTTGTTTTGTGGATAGCATGGATACTCGGGCAGCCTCCACTTGCAGTTCTTCCACCTGGCAAAATATCGTATACCTGCAGGATTGCACCTCACATTATAATCAACTACAGTTTGCTCACCTACAGGGACTGTGGCTTCGTGATAACATGCAGTGCTCATTCTTACTCATTATAGTTAAATATTTTTAACTTTTCATTTACTACCCTTTATATATTTCCCTTATGCTTGGATGGTAATAATTGCATTGGACACAGTGCTTTCGCCACAAATTGTTTTCAAGAAATCATTCAGGTGAAACTATTTGCGTCAAGAACATAACATTTGCTTCTTTTAATGTTTGAAAATTTCATTCTCAAACTAAATCATACGTTTTACTTTTAGGTAAATTTGATTTTTCTCTCTTAATAATTTAGATAAGAAAAGCAAGTGTTATATTGTTTAAATAAAAAGATGCAGTTGATGCCTTACTTACCTCGCAGGAATTACAAGGGCATCAAACTCAGCCACTAAATGTCTCCTAATAATGCTCTTAGACGGTGGAATACCCAGAGCAGTGGCCATTGTTTCTCCGGTGAAAGACGGCTCCAGTACTACCAGGCCGCCATGAACTCCACTATCTAACATAACATTCAAATAGACCATGTATGGAAATCCAAAAATGTTTCCTGCCTGATTAAATGTTCATTAAAGCATACCTTTGAGATTGTCAGCGAATTCACCTAAATCAATATTATGGGCCCACCGCATAAATCTGTGATTGGTCCAAACCAGGGGGTCCGCGTCTACGTTCTCACACTGGTGACGTCTCACCGCCAGAGCCTGCAGAAAACTCTTACAATTATTCAAAGAAAAAACGACACTAAGTGATTCATTTCGTTAAAAAAAAAATACATGTGTGGAATTCACACGTGGTAGAAGTGAAACCTTCCAAAATTAAAATACAATTATCCTAAACATCTTAAGTATATGTAAAATTTTGTCATTAGTAAATAATTGTAAGGTAGCGCCCTCTGTGCTACTGTGTGTAATTGATATTTTAATTTCACGTATAATCCTAAATTAAAATTCACTACAAGAGTTTTCATACACACGTTAGTATTAAAAAATCTCACAGATGGCGCTGTATTAAATAGTATGTATATTTCTGTCTCATTCTTTGCTGGCTTCATCCTACACATTTTTGTATTTGTGTCTCTTACCTGTCGTTTTTTCCGTTGCATCCGGTTTGAAATCACAACGATTCTAAAGAAGTTTTCACTTCAAAAAACGAGAGACATCACAGATTTTTAGTCAAATGAAGTACAAAGAGAAGAGCGCTAATGATTAATGAGTGTTTGTACGAGGGTCGCGTTGGAAACAGAACATTTCGCACCAGTTCAGTGGATAATCGCTCATTTACACTCGTCTCTTATCTCGTTCTCCTTATCGAAAAGGGACGTGAAAGGGATTTCTCATTACAACATCCATATTTTGCTTAAGAATTCAAGTGGAAAATTTTGCATTATATTCTTGTTATGAACCGACGAGGAATTTAATTTTCAATTTACTTCAATCAATCAAATTATCAATTAGAAAAGTTATCGTTATCAATCATTGTCGACTGTTCCTCACACAATGTTCATTACGTTGATAATTTAATTATTTTACCGTTGAATCTTAATTAGCTTTTGTAAAGGTTAATAGGAATAATTTCACGAATTTAGTTTTTTTTTTTAATAAATGATTTATATTTTAAGGCAGGGTAAATAAAAGAATTAAAATACAAGTTTAAATATAATGAACACACTGAAACCTTATAAATAGTATTGTAATATTTTACTGGAGTTCTGATTTAACCTTCTGAATATAGGGAACTCATTAAAATTAAAAATTGTGGTAAAAACCCCCGCAAATAATAATATTTATAATACGATAACAAATAAATGTGCGCGTTAATTGAAATTTTACATACTTGTCGATCGTATTTCATTATCCTCAGCAGATGAATGCCGTGAACAATGGAGGCCTGATGGAACTTCCTTGTAACTCCGAGGTATTTCTCTAACTCTTTCTTGCTTATAGTGTCGAGCATGCGGGCATCCACCAGGTTAGCCAGGAATGACTCAGCATACTGTGCATTGATTATTATTACAAATAAGTAGCTATTTCAGGAGTTAGTGTAATACATGCATGTGACTAGGAGATGTATGGAAATTGTAGTGTAAGGTAGAGGGGAAAGAGGTCGATAGAAGAAGACATGGATAGAAATATGAGAGAGAGAGGAGTGAGTGTTGATATGACGGCTGATAGAAGAGAATGGAAGAGAAAAATTAACTGTGCTGACCGCACCTAGTGGGATATGGTGGAGAAATAAAAGCAGACATAAAATAATCTATGATGCAAATTTAGTAATTTTCCTTTGCGGCTAATTTAATAGTAACTAATTTCGCAAATAACACCATAACGTAAATTTTCCTAACCACCACAAGATAAGGGATGGAAGTCTAAGTTGCATTGAAGTAGCAGTTGCCCTAATCTCCGTGTCTGATTTTGTGGCTGAAACACAGGATGGGAAATATCTCTGCGTACTTACATCAAGTATATCTATTCTTGATCATTTAACAAATTTCCATTTCACAGACAGGGGGAATGCATGTGTCCGTAATACTTCGACATTTATTGGTCAAGATTAAGATTGAATGGATGAGAATCGACGAGGATCAAGCAAGTTTGGTAATTACTTTCATGCGATCTCCCCTTCGGTTGAATAGTACAATTATCTAATCCTCGCAGTTCGTGTCTTATGTAGTTACAATTGAACAGAAAAGGGACCACATAATTTTGATGATTCACTCGTCCTCAACCAATGCACCGTAATTAGAGATTTGCCGAAACTTCACTAATTGTGTAGTTACTAAGTTGTAAAGAAGACGTAATGAGATCAACTAGTAATAAAACGTAGTTAATGAAACTTCCGAAATTTCTTTCATCGCCCTATCGAAATGTACCGCTAGTGAATTAAAAGCTAGAACAATAAGACCATATTGTATACTACATAATATGTGACTATACTTGAGACTTATATCTCAAGGTGCATGGCGCATTTACGTCGTATATGTCTATGGGCTCCAGTAACCACTTAACACCAGGTGGGCTGTGAGTTCGTCCACTCATATAAGCAATAAAAAATAAAAAAAATAAAAATTGAAAGTTTAGAGTATGTAAATTTTGTGCTTCAAATTCGAGATCTCGTGCGTGGTTATTAGAGCTCACATACCCTCGTACTTAATGCAAGTCCCAATTCTTATAACTCACCTGAGAAAGGCCCAAATCTGGTAACCATTCCGCGGCGACCCAAGCGTGGCTGAGTTGACCTATTGTTGGATTCCTGACCAAGTCTGGTCGTCTTCGTTCTTCGATAGCAAGACGCAGCTTCTTGCGGTGCATCGGCTGTGAGATCCCCAGTCCGACTTCCAGATCTGCATCCGTCAACTCGAGCAGAACCTGCCCATTCAAAGCACGGATCTAGAACCAACCAGAACACAATATTTGACGCTAATGTCGCGTCATTCTCTATATCACTAATATGTTCAGGTTGTTATTTGCGATTTTCAAATTTTTGGTTTACAATGTAAATATCATTCCCGGCCTTACTTAGGTATAATATAAATCAGATATCAACGCTCACAAACAAAGGTCCCGATAAATTTCACGAAATTTTGTATCGGGTCCTCATTTCCATACAAATCTAATAAAATGAACGTATTTCGGATAATGAATGGGCACGGGAGTAATATTAAATATTTTTTATTTCGTTCATTATTTACTGAGAAAAACGTGATACGGAATTTACGTTGTTGTATACTTGTATACTACTATTTTTATCAAAAACTTGCGTAATATGTAATATACAATCGTAGCTGCTGCGATTATCGGAAGAAGAGTCAATTAATCGGATTATCGTCACTAACCGTGACCACATAAGATCGAAAATTCAATTATTTAATAGCCACTGTCGTACCGTTGGAAAAAATACTACTCTGAGACGAAAACAAAAAAAAATTGGCTCATGATGCTACGCATACAATATACTGTAGACTGCATTAAAGCTGGAACTTCTTCGTCCTAACTTACCATTTACTACTTCATGTCAGTGCTCTATTGGTCATATTTATGCATACACATAATATATTATCAACTTGAAAAACGTTGTCTTCTTTTAGGGGATATGGGTTAAAAATAATGTTTTAAGATAAAATAACCAACTATCTATCCATTATGTTTTTTATGTACAACACTGCAGTTTTATATAACTATAATGATCTTCCACGGGACCTAACTGATAGCATTAAAACACACACAAAAAAAAACTCTATTGAATCATTAGTAGCGTAATCTATTCTAATATATCAATCTACAGTGGTTTTTACGGATGTTCCGTTATAACTACTGAACTATGCATCCGATTGACTTGAAACTTGGTATCCATGTAGAAAATACATGTATTTAATGGACGGGCTAATATTTATAAGAGTTTTGGACTCTCTAATAATAATGACAATAAATAATAATGTTAATTTTAAATGCCCAGCGAAGCGGGCGAGTACGGCTCGTATATTATAATTAACAAAAAAGTTCACATTTCGTTGGTAAACAAACCTTGCCACTTTTGACGTTATCGGCTATTGCAGCTGCATATTGTGGCATTCCTAAAGCCAGTTCTAGCCACGCTATGATTGCCGGTGTGCGCCACCTTGCTAAAGGCTGGGAAGCGGCCTCGCGGAGAGCTGCTTCACTACTTAGCGGCGACCATGCACGGGTCGTACTACCGGTACCCGCGTATACTGGTTCTGGTCATAAAAATAATACATAGCTTAACTTCGATTTCGATACACAAATTTGTTAACAGAAAGTTTGAAACGAAGAGATCCAGAATTATTAATTGGCAATGAAATTGGCGTAATTAATTCATTTTAAACTCCGAATCTTCGATGAAGAAAATTATTGATGAATAGCACTATTCTCTAGTCTCACCACTTTCATGACCGCTCACAGCAGCGCTGCCGGATTTGGTACGGTGTCGGCTCCTTGCAAATACGCGGGATATGGATCCCCACGCAGAACCTCGACCACGGGCACCTTTGCTTCCCGCGCTGCCCCCCGAGCGCCCTCGCAGACCCCCCACAAGTGCTGCTTCGCATTCACCAGGGCTCGATAGCTGTTCCACTGACCTAATGTTACACCATATCATAAAACGCTGTACTTTCTGACAAATTGAATTAATTAACGTTCTAACACGAAACAAGTCTATTTTTGGACTGGTAGTTGATTGAAATAGCGGAGGAACTAAAAATACCTGTCACCGACGCACTCCACCAAGCTACAGAACGGGATCGATGGAGATAGCTAGTTGACGGAATCAAACAGAGTCACGATCCTCAGCAATGAGGGACCGATTGAAGAGAAAGAGAGAGAGTTGATTCTCCGTATAATCACCTCACATGTTGTGAATTTGGAATTGTTTACTAAAGGAATACGAAACGAACTATTGAGTGTGTTCTCACAGAGAAAAAATGAAATGATGACAAATGAAAAAAATGAAATGATTCATATTATTTATGCGAATTAAATTGTTAGCGTACATTTAAAAAAGCAATGTAAACAATTTAGATACAAGTGAACGATAAATACCTTGACAATGATCCTGCATCAATTGATCGTGTGAATGGCGATCCGCTGTTGTGCGGTGACACTGTAGGACTGCAGTCTCGTGGAGTGCCCACTATGAATAAAATTAAATAAAAAATACTATACACACAATACTAGTTGTAAATAAATACATGAATAGAGATGTTGTTTCTATTCTAATAAGTAATTTATAAAACATTTTAATTATTGTTGTCGTTGCTATCAAATAACTATAAAAACGAAGGATTTTACGGTTACAAAATCACCATTAAAGTTGAGGGTTTGTGAGTGAAATAGCAAGATGTTTTTACTGCACATTTACTCTAAGTACCTTTTTTAATTAATAATCACGACACTACCCTAATTATCTTCGATGTTGCTATCCCAAAAAAAATAACGATTTCACATTAACTATAAATTATTTAACGAAATAGCACATATTATATTTCTGAACTGATAAAGAAACAAAATTTTAGAAACAACACATTAGGTACGTTATGTTTACGTGTAAAAATGCAAAGAAATAAAAATAGAGAGAGAGATAATAGAAATATAGAATTGAAAAAGTAACGATTTAGAATCAAAATGCTGTCAAACTCATTTTATAATTAAAACATTAACGTAGGTGACTAAATATACGCAAAAAACTAAACTAAGTCAACAATAAATATTAGTGATATAAAATTGAATATCCATTTTTAGAGATTTATCAGCTACTAAAAGAATGCCTTACTGACGTGATGCAATTGAACTTTTGAATTGAAATGCGACAGTAAGTGTTAATATTTGGTTAGATATTGAAGTGATCGTTTTTAGGGCCATATTTCTTCATATCACATTAATGGAAGAAAAACAAAAAAAATACACACGAATCGATTTTAATAAAAGTACATCCAATCTTATGTTTCCATTGCACGTATTATACACGCTATGACGTATAAATTTGGTGCTTTCTTAAGACTATTTTGAGAAAACTACCCAGTCTCATCGGTCATATCATATGTCATTCTTGAAAAATGCCAATGATACTTTCTCTGGATTAAATATCCACGAGTTCAGTATTTAACATAAAAGGTAAACGCAATAAAAAAAAACCTTTTTTTAAGTGATAATTACATAGGGTTCAGAGGCGAATCTACTACTACAATATTGTTTTAGAAAATTGCTTTTGAATAAATGAGTTAATTTTCGAATTTCGGCCTCCAATTATTAAAGAAAGGACCTACTAAATTATTTTCTGGTTTGGTCTGCTTTTAAATACTATATATAAAATTACGTGGCTCGATGTAAAAATGTTATTAAACAATATTATTACTCTAGTAAACTTGTGCCGTAAAATAATAAATTGTAACAGATGCTGTGAACGTTTAATACAGGTTATAAAGAGTAAAATTAATGAAGGAGGAAATATATATATATTTTTTTGGCTTTTAAGCCATTTCCTTTGTCCGGGCCATGTATTCATGCTTATGATCCACCTGTGCAAGGTTATTGTGGACTTAAGAAATGCTAGAGAACTAGTTAAGCTAAGTTCATTCTTAAAATTTTGTTCTAATAACAAATTGGAAAACTATGGAATAACGTAATTTTAATTTTAATTAAATTGTTTAATTAAGTTGTCTTAACATTAAAACACAAACTTATCATTTTAACCGTATTACGATAAAACCAAATAAATACAATTAGCAAGTAAAAATTATATGGTTCTGTATAATTGGTAACAAAGGAATAAAATAAAGGCTGTCGAGTGCCAATCAACTAATTGGGTTTAACTTGTTTTTATTGTAAATCGATTCCAATGATTGAATTAAAAAAATCAAATCAAGTCCACAATTTGGAGAACAAATTCTTCGTTTGATTTTTAATTTTCGGTAAGAGAAGGTGCTAAGTATCTTTCACTTGTGTTTGAATCTGAATGTTCCTAGTTTATATCATATTGAATACATAAGATATTTAGAAGTAAACATTGAAAGAATTCAGCGTAAATTTATAAAGTACCTTTGTTTTAAATTAAATATTGCCTATAACTCTAATAATTATGATAACCTTTGTAAAAAACATCATCTACTTCCTCTTTACTTGCGACGTGAGGTTGCCGACATTATATATTATTTAAAGATCGTTAAGGGTTTGGTGGATTGCCCGGAGCTCTTATCCAAAGTTGACTTCAATGCACAGATAAAATCTTTAAGGCATCGAAATCTAATTTCTTTGCCACTAGCTTCCACTAACTATAGGCAAAACTCATTCTTTTTACGTGTTGGTGGTGACCTCAACAGACTTGGCAGGTTCTCAGATATTGACCCATTTTATTCCTCTATCACAGGACTTAGACGTCAGCTTAGTGCACGATTTTTCGTGGGCGATGAGGGGGCAGAGGGTGCGGGGCTATGTGCCGGTGATGTGTAGCACAACAGTTTTTTATTAATTTGTGACATTGATACATATGTGTACATTTAAATTAGTCTGGTGTTTTCCTCCATTCCTTATGTTGTTTCAGGCTTGCTGATTGTTTTTTTTGTTTTGTTTCTATGCTTTTGTTTCTCTAGTGTTTTTAATTTGTTTATATTGGTGAGGACCTTTAATTGGCTTTTTGTTTCTATTATTTGTTATATTATTATACTATGTTAGTTGGCTGTTGGTTCTCCTTGCATTAAATAAATAAATAAATATAACTTTTTTTGGGTAATCTTTGGTAATCTTTGGACTTCGAGATTCTAGATTTCAAATTGAGTAGTAACGGNCTTTTGTTTCTCTAGTGTTTTTAATTTGTTTATATTGGTGAGGACCTTTAATTGGCTTTTTGTTTCTATTATTTGTTATATTATTATACTATGTTAGTTGGCTGTTGGTTCTCCTTGCATTAAATAAATAAATAAATATAACTTTTTTTGGGTAATCTTTGGTAATCTTTGGACTTCGAGATTCTAGATTTCAAATTGAGTAGTAACGGAATTACGAAATTGAATCGAATCGACGTGATAATTTCAATATTGTATTTATATTAAACAAAATACACAGAAAATACTAAAACTTGCGTATTTGGAGTTAAATAAAAAATGATATATGGAAAACTTTATATTGTTGCTTACATTGATAAATGTGATGCGCGGATGATACCAAAGACGCACCATCGGTGTCATATGAGTCAATAGTCGGAGGTAATCCTTCCGCTGTGGAATCTGATAGGTTGCCTCCGCATACCGAAGTTGCACCTCCATCGCTGCTACCTGTTACTAATTTATACTTTACGTACTTATATACTTATATTAAAAATCTTTATAATGAAATTCAATCAATCTTCAATAGTTTTGAAAACCACAGAAAATATAAAAAATCATGAATCACAGAAATTTATTTTTCAACAGTAAAGGTTAGTAATTCTAATTATTGCTTTAATACAGCATTTAAAGAACGGTTAAAGGTTACAAAATCAAAGTTAACACGACAAAAATTAAAAAGAGACATTTGTAATGAGAAAATGGAGTGAACAAGGAAACGATATTCCCAATCATTCTACAAAAATATGGCTTAAAGTGTTCCCGGATAATATTTTAAGAGAGTCGTTACCTCTTACTCCAGAATCTGCACTACAACTGCCTCTGTCCCCGATCAGACCTGTAGGTCCTCCCAATAACATCGGAGGTCCGATGCCTAGTGATGCCACACTTTCGCCTTCAGACAGACACCCGGCTGCTTGTAGCTGTCGTCTTGCCTAAGCAAATTAAAATAATCTTCAGACATTTGAAACGGTAATTTGTATAAAAAAATCAGTAAAGATTTACGTATATTAACTTTTTGTTCTCGTAACTTCGACCTCACAATTGATTCAGAAATTATCTTGAATCAGTATTATGAATAATTAAACACATTTTTTATCATTTATTAAATCTATCTACAGTCTTAATAACGATAACCTCGTTAGTTTAGTGATAGTGGGAAATGCAACTGAAAACCGGGTTTAAATTCCAAGGAGAATCTAGCGTTTATTAAAGCAATTCATGTTTAGTGTTTCTATTTCTTATTTTTATGATTTCCGAAATGCACGAGACCTTCTATGCATCAAATTTCAGTCAATCCTTTCAAAGTCGTCGAATATGAGAAATCTTATTTATCATTTTTATATCGATAGTTAATCATTGTTAAGATTACGAATTGAAAGAAAATTACAAAATCAACATTACTGAAAATGGTCTAGTTGTAGCAATAAAACCAGGAAAAAATAACTTTCTTTGCAATTTATAACAAAAGCTATTTGCAATTGTAATTAGCACCGCAGCTGGTGATGGATGGATTCCAACGCCGCCAATCACTGTAGCTATTCATCATAGCGCTTGTCCTGTCGATATTATTTTTTATTTATTATTATTCTATGGACAATGTTACTGCCATTGAGGTATTCATCAATAAAAATACGGACATTTTTATTTTCGATGAGAATAATGATTTACAGGCCCAGTGAAAAGAGGACGAAATTCGAACATTGAATATTTCGGTGTTGCCAAAACACTCGTATTAACATCGGCCGACCGTAAATTCAGAGCACTTCGGAGATTGCACTTATCATTTGTCGGTTAAACGTTCGTACATTATTTTCTCGTACCTGCAAATTGTAATGAATGGTCGTAATGTTTTTGGAAACGGACGTTCTAATTAATGTTCCATTTTAATTAAGCTCGAAGGTTTTAGATCCTACCCTACCTTCTCTTCACCAAAATAGTTAGAACAACAAAACCTTTACAGTTATTTTTTTTAGGAATCCCAATTTTAGAGTACATCATTTATTAAGACGAACAAAAGCGTGGGGTGCATGGTATCAGTAGTAATAAATATTTTATGAACAGATATGTGTAGAAGGGCTATTTTGATAATAACCTGAAAAGCACCCCACGCTTTTTTACAATAAAAACATTTTTTCTTGCAATAATTTTTAATTCAAATTTATTATAATTTATATTCTGTTTTCAGCGTATTTTGTTAGTTTTTTTAAACTATTATTTATTTTTCATTTTTAGTTGAATTTAAATTATCCAATTTTGTTTGTTCAATTTTTTTTAAATATTGAATTGTCATCGGTCTTTAATAAGTATACCAAATTTCGAGTTAATCCGACATTTTGGAGGGGATCAACATCAAAATCATGTTCAAAGATTCCGTCACAAACATACAATACGTCTGAAGCTAATAAAAGTACAGTCCATAATATTATGGAATTCGCTTCCCAAAGAAATCAGGATGATCAGCAATCGCTTTACTTTTAAACTCAAAGTTCGCGAACACATCCACAAAAAACTGGAAGAATCATCTCCAAACTAGTTTATTTCATTTTTCAATTATTATTATTATATTATATATATTCTTAACTATAATACTAAATTGTGTATTTTCATGTGTATATTATTGTGTGTAATTATGTGTATGTATGTATTTTATTATTTTATACATAGGTATATTGAATTGTAGTATATGTATTCTATAATACTGAGATATTATTTTAAGGAAGATTTTTGTTTTGAGTTTGTTCTTTTTTTTTGTTTTGTTGTTGTTGTTTGTTATTTTTTTGTCAATGCACCTACCATGCATTATCTCTGCACCACCCTATGGTCGACTGGAANATTGAATTGTAGTATATGTATTCTATAATACTGAGATATTATTTTAAGGAAGATTTTTGTTTTGAGTTTGTTCTTTTTTTTTGTTTTGTTGTTGTTGTTTGTTATTTTTTTGTCAATGCACCTACCATGCATTATCTCTGCACCACCCTATGGTCGACTGGAAGAGAATGCCCATGGCATTAAGTCCGCCTGTGTACAAGTTTTGTTTTTGTGCATAAAGTATAAATAAATAAATAAATAAATAAATAAAAGTGTATTAAAATCCTTCCGCCGTTTAGCAAAAGTATTTAATCATTGATTGAGTCACCTCAAAGAGTTGTTCCCTGGCATGTCTGAGTTGAGTGTCCCTCGCGCTGAGTGCAGCGGCTAGTTGCAAACTTCGCTCGGCCTCATCCCTAGCGTGCCGTAAGAGCGCGGCCCGCTCACGCTCCCTCTCTGCTCTCTCCGCTCCGAGAGCAGAAGAAGCGCCACCTCTTGAACGCATCTAAACGAAGAACGTTTGAATATTATTAGAGACAGATCGAATACTAATATGATGTACCACAAGCACCGGTTACCGTCTTCGTCGAACCCGTCGCTTGCGACGAAGGGCTCGACGAGCGAATTAACCTACAGATACAGCCCACTGAGTTTCTCGCCGGATCTTAATGGGTCGCGTTTCCGATCCGGAGGTAAATTCTGCGAAGCGCTGCTCTTGCTAGGGCCAGTGTTAGCATCACTCCGGTTTGAGCCCCGTGAGCTCACCTACATGCTAGGACGAAGCTGAAATAGCCTTTTAAGGCTAACAGCATAGGTAGGAAAAAAAAAGTCTCATTACTAAGTATTTGCTTAGTAGAATAAAGGTCGATTGTTCTTATGCCAGGATTGTACTCTTGTAAGCCCGGATGGATACCACCAACCTACCGGTTTCTACCGCGAAACAGTAATGAGTTTCAACCTGAAGGAAGGGGTAGTTGTTATACAATCGAGAATTCTATCTCATGTCTCCCGTGGGCCGTGAATTAGGTTAAGCAATTACCCATTAAGAATAAAAGCTTATAAACCACATTACAAACGTCGTTCATTATCTAGTAGCTAGAAGTTCATACTAATTCCATCACTATGTGTATCTTGAGTGTGTTGTGCGGTCTTTGTTTACGTCAATATTGAACTAAGGAAACAAAACAACGTCGAACAGATTGTTAAATGTTTGACGTGGGCTTCGACGGTTTCAGGACAACTTGTTAATCCTAAAACGACTTTACTAAAACAAGGATTTATCCAGCGAATTCGGGTAAGCAATTAACGTCAAGTTTTGGCAGAGCTGTTTCCCTGGTTTACAAATTTAACATAAATAGTTCCTACTAAAGCTTCTGGTATACTCTAGAGACGAATAAAGGGAAATAGCTGTAGGTTTGTTTGGGCGCGTGTTTCTCAACCTGATTTTGAGATTAGATGCAGAACAAATTAGTTTAGTTAATATTTTTAAAATAGCTAGTGGCCCTCCCGTAGTCGAAATTCGGATATAATTAATTGAAATTATAAGTTTGTACACTATTATGATTCTATTGTCAAAGAATATTATACTTTTATAATCACAGATTTCGTCAAGACTACACTGTAGACAAATATTAATAAAGACAAACAAATATTTAATCTAACTACTCTCAATTTGACCACAGACTAAAAGCAATAAGAAAAGTTTGGCTCGACAGTATGCAAGTAGTGTGTAATGTTTTTTTTATTGTTTTAATGTATTATTTATGCATAATTAAAAAAAAAAACATTCAGCACTCCTTTTCTATATTCTCTATAAATGTAGGAAATTTCATACTCCTCCGTCCGCGCAATTTTCGTAAAAAGGGGTACAAAGTTTTTTCTTCACGTATTAATATATAGATACTTATTATGAACGTGTAAAATACAAACTACTTGTACTTAGTTTGTCTATCTTATGTAGTGTTAGAACCGAATTATTCAAAATGCAAGGACAACACAAAAATATATCTATTAAAACTCTTTTTTAATTACTAATTTTGGTGAACAAGTTCACGGTCTACCCGGTGATAAGTTGTCACACGAGCCCATAGACAACAACCACGTCAATGCCGCCGCCCAGCATGAGACATGAGTTCTGAGTCCCAGTGTTTAAAGTTCAACGGCTGCCCCACTCTTCAAACTGCTTCGCGGCCAAAATGGGCAGGGTGGTGGTATCCACCAATGCAGGCTCACGACCACCATTACACCAAAACTACATGTACCTGTTCATAATTCCTTATGAAATCACGCAATTCCTTCTCTTTGTCTTCAAGTGTAGCGTAGAGTTGTTTCATTTGATTCAACAAATCGAATTTCTCTGCTTTTAACCTTTTCTTATCCGCCTTTAGAGCTGTAAAAGGAAGGCTTTTCAATTTGTTGTCTAAAGTACATACTAAATTCCATGTGATCGAAAACAATCTCTTCGCGATTTGAACATTACAAATAGTAGTCGTAAAATCATGATGTCCTTATTAACTTGGAAAGGCTTGGGAAGTAAATTAACGGCCGTCTGGTGTAGTGGTAAGTGACATGGTCACTACACAAGGGGGTCGCGGGTTCGAATCCCGCCAAGGGAAAATATTTGTATGATAAATATAAATGTCTTTTCCAGGGTTATGGATGTATATTAAATATATGTATGTGTATAATAAAAATCTTACATTTATATCCGTTATCTGGTACCTGTAAGACAAGTGCTTTACGAACTTATCACGGGACCAGTTAACGTGGCGTGATTGTTAGTAAAATATTTATTATATTATTTATTACATAACGCTCACATATTAGATTAAAGTGAAACGAACCTTGAATATAAAGCCGTTTCTGTTCCGAGATCTCTAGTGCCCAATAAATCTGACTAGTTCAAAACGGTAACTCGCTTGTAGAAGGATCAAAGTGGTAAAGTAAGCGAGTGCGGATTGCAAAATTTGAATCGAATCTCGAGGGCTTTAAATCTACGGAAATGCACCAGCTTCAAGATGAAATGCTACTCAACGTAACATGTACATTGCTTAGAGGTATTGGTACGTAACATATATTGCTTAGAGGAATTGGTGTAAAATATTAGAATCGAACGGATAAATTGAGTATGGGGCTAAATGCTTTTGATTTGTTTAATGGTTTTAATATGTGAGGAATTCGCATTAATTGCGTTTTATCATGATAGAAGTGTATTTATTATTTTGAGCATATTTTTTAGTTGAGAATTTTAGTGACAACACTTTTTATTTTCATGATTTTGTATGTGGTGATAATATGATAGCATCACCTTATGTATCTACTGGAACAATTCAATTCACTTTTCAGACACTTATCGTACTGTGTCCTCATGAAACTTGTCAACTGCTTGCCCTAATAAAATTACAATAATGTGACATAATCGACCTGGTCTGCTGATGAACTTACCAAATTGGTAGTAGTGATAGTTTTAAAAGACCAGGGGCCAGTACACTTTTGGAATTCATTAAATTAATCTTAACGAGTAAGTACGCCTTTATAATTCAAGAACTGAAAGGCAATTTGGTTTAATTAATTAAATTTTGGAAAAAGTATCATGACAAAAAAACTTCGAACATTGAAATGTTGATGCAAATGTTGATGTTGGTGCGCTTAATAAAACGCACCTATAATTCAAAATATAAATGTAGTGTATTAAGCGAAATGTCGCTCAAGCCAAATAGCTTTTCTTTGTATCTCAATAGTATTTACTAAAGTAAAGTTCACAAAAATATTAAATTTAAAAATGATAAAATCATGCAATGCGGTCATGGATTAATATTTAATCACAAAACAGACATACTAATAATATCAGACAGATTATTCAGATCAAAAACGCGTGTAGCGTATCAAAGTCATACTTCGTCACGTTAATGACATTAGAGAAAACGTCAGCAGTAGTTACGGCAGACGCCACACTCCGAAGTACGTGAGGCCTTTACTGATAGTGCCCTCACTTCAGCAGGTACCCCCTGTATTATGAGTATAGTTTATCAAAACGTCGGCTTACGGGTACACGGGTAGCTATCGTGAGCGGCACTCAACAAATTGGCCACTTTTATGGGATCGGATCGGATTATTGTGTGAAGAAGTTACTGTGGAGTCAGGTGGGACCAGATTTAGCTTCTTTTATCGGTTCGCCTTTCAAGTTTCGAGTTGAAACTGTCGATTTTATCGCATCGTTGATTTTACGATGTAATCTAATTTCGTGAATGTTCCGAATGATTCCTCAAAGTCTAAAAAGATTTTTGTTTTTCGTGTTTTTCACGATGAGGCTATGATGTACATATAGCCTTATAGAAGCAATGTTTTACCTTAAGGTAGCCAATTTATTATTTAAATTTGTGATTTGTGTTTACTCACAGTTGACAGCTTCTCTAGCTAAGAGTAGTTCCTTTTCAAGCTGCTGAGGGTCCAAAGCGATTGTTTCTTGTGATTCATCATCTTTTGTTCTTTCAAGAAGAGCGTTGCCAGCTTCTCCCCTTTCAGCAGCTGCCACCAGTAGTCGGCGTACTCTTGTCAATTCCGCCTTCGAAATAAAAACAAAAATTCTAATTGTTTATAAAAATGTACTGCCTACTTCTGATAGAAAATAAATAGACATGCTTTAACAAAAACCGACTTCAAATAACAATAAAAAAAAAGATATTCCAAAACAAATTCATATACACTAAAAACAATAATCTTCGAAATCGGTTGGCGTGATATTGAGTTATTGAGTTATTCATCTATTTGTCGCGCACGTACTTAATGCAAATTTAAAACTTATATGGTTTTCTCATGGATACCATTATTAGAACTGGGTTAAATTGTAACGGGACCACACGGGAAGCGTCAGCTTTCTAATAAAAAAAAGAATCTGCAAAATCGATTCACCCAGTCAAAAGCTATGAGGTAACAGACATAAAAATACAAAAAAACAGTCGAATTTTCCTTCTCCTTTTTGAAGTCGGTTAAAAAAAAACGATTGATGTTTGTTACATGAAATCAAACATATTTACATATTCGTTTTTGATCGATCACAAAATATACTATCCAAAAAAAAAGAACAAACCATATAGTATTATTGTATGAATTAGAAACACAGGCTAACTTATCGTAATAAATTTTGATCTGCTGAAAGATAATAATAATATATATATACCTCCGCTGACTACATTATACGAAACAATGAATAGTTTTGTTTACTCGAGAAATTCATAAAGTTTAGTTGATCCAAAATACCTTATTAATCTGCAAGGCCAAAAGGTTACCGAGAGCCGTTATGAAAGTAACAAACTCTGGGTATTTGACTCACTTACCGAAAACACTTAAGACCGGCCGAGTGGAAAGCGTTATCGATATATTAGGCCATTTCGTGATAGAAATGGGTGAAATGTTACCAATGGGAAACTTTGAAGTCTTTCGGTATGTATCATGCTGTAAAACTATGCCGATATTCAAATCCGTCTTTTGTTTACGGAATATTCCTACTTAACTTCTATTTACGAACAGTTTATAATACGTATGTATTTTTAATATGACTTGGAAACGTTTGTCAAGTCCATCTAATATTAATTGGTTATCCGAGCCCATAGATCTCGCAATTTGAATACTGTGACCTTGAGGCATGAAGTCTAAGTCTTAATTGTATATTATACCGATTGAAACACGTCTCAAAACAAAACGGATAACTGCTACGCGATAGAAATTAGCAGGGTCTTTTTAAATAATACCTGTCCAAGCTCACAAAACCATTTCTGATTCTAGCATTCAGTCTTTCTCGAAGGTAAAAACTATAATAGACTTGATATATCACTTAAATACTACAATATACTTGACATAAATTTAATGAATTTCGTTAACAACAATGGATTCTACATACATTGCTAAAATTAACAACGTAAGCTTAGAAAACAGACCTCCAATTAGACCGACTTGTGGAGCTAGATGTAGGTATTTATTCTTGTTGTATCTAATATAATACCTTCTGTCTTGGTGTTTAATTAAGGTTCTAATTTATACCTGTAATCGTTCGTTTTCCATTCTAAGCCGGCGAGCTAATTGCGCCCCTGTTAGCATCCCAGGGGATGCCGGTATTTCCTCTTGACGAGATCTGTCCGAACGAGCGCCTGGTGATGCAGCCTCTGGTTAAAATATATGGTTTGTGTTATATATATACATTAGTAATTTGGAAGAGGTACTACATGCTCACTATTGAATAGATAGTCTCTTTAAGTATAAATCTTCTCTATATATAAAAATGAATTGTTGTTCGTTAGTCTCGCTAAAATTCGAGAACGGCTGGACCGATTTGGCTAATTTTGGTCCTTAATTATTTGTGGAAGTCCAGAGAAGGTTTAAAAGGTAGAAAATGCTCGGAATTAAATAAAATAACAATTTTGTTTTTCCTTTAATGCGTCCCCCGTCGGATGGATTCCTTTTGTTTGTTTTAAGTTTATTTTATACAAAAGTTTAGGTCTTTTATTTATCGATTGAGGCACTACGAAGTCTGCCAGATCAGCTAGTAAATTTATAATTTTTCAGTAAAAAAAAACTGAAGCATTTTTCTATTTTTCTGTACAACGTGCGTTATTAATAATGATTTTATTTGATAATGGCCTTATTCAGGCTTTTGATGTATTTTATTTAATGAAAATAACCAATGAAACCCGTTTAAAATTGAAATCAACTGAGCTATTTAAATTCGTTTCGGCTTAGCTTGCTAATTTAGAATTTGTTTACTCGCCGACACTGTCTTGTTAATAGCTTTACTTGCACAAAGTTTTCCTTGTTAAACGTTCAAGGGCCCAAGTTCTAACCCTCATTATTAGCTGTCGTACTAGAGAGTAATATGAAAAGTTCAGCATACTGCGCACTAAAGTTACATAAAACGGATTGGTTATGGCGCCATCAATGTTACTATGACAAAGTTTTCGGAGTCACGAAAGGGTTGGTCTGTCCAGACAAATCGATTGAATGTTACACATGTCACGTACCCGGCCGCAGGTGCGCATCGCGTCTACCTCGTCGTAATATTCGTTCCGAGTGAGATCTATTAATTTTCCGATACATAATGACGAAGCGGGCACGTCCCGATCGTTTCCCTGATGAGAAACTCTGTCGTCGCTTGAAATATTTGAATGAGAAACTCCATCAAAAGAAACAAAATTCAATACAACAAGAAAGTAATACAATCGTTAAAATAAAATATGTTTCTCGCGTATGCTAACGTGAATGCGAAAACTCCTATTGTTTCATATAATTTGTTATATTAACATCTTGAATCATCTTTAAAAATATACAAAGCGAAAGATCCACAAACGAGCAAAGCAATCATGGTACTACTGAAAGTTTTTAATAAGTATTGTTAATGAAAAGTCGCTAGAAGAATTCAATGACAAATTGCAGCATCGTAGTGGAAGTTTCTTTCTTGCAGAGTCGACTGTGCTTGCAGGGTCGGAAAATGAGCTTATTCCCTAAGGCTGCCGACTCATTAGTAACAAAGATATTATTCAGGGGATCACCCTGCAATGTGTGGGTGCACCCACTACTTACAACCCGTATCATTCATATCGTTGGAAATAAAAAAAGGCTTGTTTTGTTTGCACAACCTGCAATTTGTACGTGTTTTATTACTTCACTAGCGACCCGCCCTCGCTTCGGTTCGGAAACATTAAAACACACATGAAACCAAAAAAATTAAATATTTTTTTTTTAAAAAAACGTTGCCTATGTTCATCAGGGACAATGTCGGCTTCTAATGGAAAAATAATTTTTCAAATCGGTCCAGTAGTTTCGGAGCCTATTCGAAACAAACAAACAAACAAATCTTTCCTCTTTATAATATTAGTATAGATTGAACATCAGGAAGAGTTGGATAGGAACTCTTTAAAGGATCTATTTTTTTAATTTAGCTTCAAACACAATCAAAAGAAATAAAGCACGATATGGCCTGGAATGTATTAAATCATAAACTTAATGTATCTTAAATACACCATCACGGATGTGTAATAATTTATTATAGTAATTGGAACCTTGTTGGAAATTCAATGCAAACATCGTTATTAGTTTTAAAAAAAGGTTACAAGCAAACTTTGAATTTATGAAACCCTAATTTATATAATATATTATTGTTAAGTTGGCTCATGAATTTAAGCCCGGCTGCATTAAACTTCCATAAACTAGCAAGAATGTCGAAACTATTAAGGCCACCTTGGCGAATGTCATGGCGCCTTAGCCTGTAACAGCTGCCACGAAGAATTTCTAACTAAGTCCGGAACTCGCTTCATCAGCAATACAAACATGCCGTCTCGACTAGTTACGAACTATTATCTTAGGGATTACAGACTCTCAAGATAAACTGAACAGGTTCAGTTAATACAGCTTGGATTTCACAAGTATTCGTTGCTGTACAAGATCTTTCGCTACATAATTTATAACAAAGAAGATTTTTGTCTTACATTAGTAATAAGTAACTTATTTTGTCATTTAAAATATGTAGAATTTTTTATCCCTGTTTGTTTTTGTGAGACGCGATGATTCGAAATACGAACAGTTAGCTGTAAAAAGGTTTAGGGCGTAGGCAATGAATATTGGTAATGTCTATTTATGGGTTCTGATATTCCAGATGTCTAATGTTGGGCATAGACCTCCCTCAAACCTCGTTTATTAAGAAGAATAAAACATAATATCTCCCGTTTGTAAAAGTATAACATAATACATATAAATATACGTAATATATTTATAAATAAATGGAAAAAACGGATTAATATAATGGTAGGAGTAATTTTGTTTAATGTGTTTATTGCTATGCATTAAAATTAATGTTTATTTTACAAATCCGGCCTGTCGCCATAATTTGTTTTTTTTAACATAAAATATCTTTTAAATTATGTAAAAGGAATATCTACCCATTTTGCTTTTCTTGGTTTCCGAATTAAAAGAAATAAGTTAAATAATTTGCAGATTTCGATTTTCATATAACCAAGCTTTTTTTGAGGCATCTCGAATTGAATATTCAAGGTTGATTTGTTTATGTTCCTTCACCAGCCCATACTTCCATACCCAATGAAATAAAAACTAAACACAGTATTAAAATTATCCATTAAAATAAAATACTTTTACCTTCAAGGGTGGCTGTAATATCAGCTCGCGGCTCTGGCCCATCGCTGCTTCTCCCCGGAGAGGTAGCATCAGGCAGAGGAACTTCTTCCTCAGAGCTATCAGCCGGGTCCAGGATATTTCTTTCATTACTGTTACTTCCATTACCTATCTCAGCGTATGTTCCACTATCGCTGCCGTTTTGAGTGGACCATTTCACTGGAGAATCAAGTTTCCCATTGGCTTGGTTTTCTTTGTTGTCATCGTCTAAATTGTTTATTTCGTTAGTCAACCCAATTGTTTGACAGTAAAATCACTATCCTAAATGATCTAATAAAGTTCGCCCAATTGCTAATACTTCAAGATTAATTTACCAATTTTAAACACTCTTTTGCTAGTTTTTTTAAATTCCGCAAAAAATAGATACTAATTTATATTTAAATAATGTATATATTTATTATTAAAAGAAAATCGATTGACAGACAAAAATGGTACTTAACTGTTTTGTTTTTGGCTATTTATGTAAAGATTATGAGGTATATCGCAAATTAGACAGCAATTCAAGGCGAAGAATCGAAACATGAACAAGGAACAAAGTGATGAAGAAATTCCATTGTAAGTCAACCTTATTGATCACTTATATAACCCGGAATGGTAGAGAATTATAATAAATATTACTAGCTATATTGTGTACTTTCTTAAATATCGGAAAAAATAATTACCTATAAAAGGATTATCTTTGCCATTTCTGATCGCTAATCGTGTGGTTCTATTAAGTGTGCCGGCATCTTTGTCAGCGTTAAGAGATCCGTTACGAGGTTTGTCGAGTGTTCCTATCAGCAATCGGCGCTCAGGAGGTATCGGTCTGTGGTCCAAGTCAGATCTGTCCAGGACAGAACTAGCGGGTGTGATGAGAGGATCAGCGGGCTCTGGTTCAGGGTCAGCGTCCACCCTTGTACCCACCGAGACTTGCTCATCGACCATTTTTCGTAGTTTCGCCTGTTTCATAAATAATTAGGTAAATACTGGTAGAATTTGTGATTAAAAAATTGCCTGATAATAAATACTAAAAAAACTATATTAAAATTTCTATGTTTGGTATCATCTAAATTTTGGGAAGGAAAAATTATATCTACCTATAAGTGTATACAGTCAAACCTGGGTAAGTGAGAACTGGATAAGTGAGAAAACTCTATAAGTGAGAGTAATGGCCAGGACCCGTCATTTTAAGCTCCCAAAACCTCTATTAGCGAGAAACAGAAACCTCTGTAAGAGAGAGTCGTTTTTCCCTCATGGACCTCCGTAAGTGAGACTGCTACTTATCTATACCTCTATAAGCGACAGTCGAGCTTTATTTATCAATATTATTTAGGAGGAACAAATGACAAAACAAATTACAAATTTAACATCTGCTATTTTATGACTCATTCTTAACTTTTGTGGAACTTCCTACATTGTTTTTGTATTATTTTCTCATCAATATTGAACCTATTCTATTTCGTAGAACTAAATAACGTTGTTATTTTATCGCATTCTTTTCGAATAGACACGTGTTCCTGTGTACCATCCTGTTTGTTGGACTTATTCAGTTTATCGTTAATCAATTATGAAGGAAAGTTCTGTTCTGCATCATGTCAAAACGGAAAATTAAAGTACTGTCATTAAGTGATAAACTTAAAATAGTGAATGCGTTTGAATCCGGAAAATCGCGAAATGATATTCAGACGGAGCATTAGCGAGAAACTCGGGTTAGTGAGAAACCTCTTTAAGCGAGAATGTGATTGTGCTCCCTTGAACTCTCGCTTATCCAGGTTTGACTGTATATAAAAATGAATTGCTGTTCGTTACTCTCACTAAAACTCTAGAACGGCTGAACTGATTTGGCTAATTTTGGTCTTGAATTATTTATGGAAGTCCAGAGAAGGTTTAAAAGGTAGATAAATATGAAAATGCTCGGAATTAAATAAAAATAAAAATTTTGTTTTTCCTTTGATGTGTCTCCCGTCGAACGATTCTTTTTGTTTGTTTTAAGTTTATTTTATACAAAAGCTTAGGTCTTTTATTTATCCATTGAGGCAATACGAAGTCTGCCGGGTCAGCTAGTCGTCAATAAATATAGAAAATTTGGCATGAAATATTATCTTTAGTCATTAATCTTGGGATTAAGCCATCTTTTCCCATTGAATTACTTTACCCATCATCGTTAGACATAATAGTTGTTTAAGTCTGCTCGTTTGATAGCGCTAAGGGATTTAACGGCTACTTTGTAATTAGCGTTAAATGTGCCTATTTGTTTAATGACAAGCATTAGATAAAGAGCCTATGTTACATCGGTTGGTCTCGTTAATATTGCAGTTAAGTGAAAGTCGCGATTTAGTCGATCGAAGATAGATTGTGTTTTCCACTTAGTCAACAGTGATGAGCGTTGAAGTGTGGTGCGTGTTAATGTTGCACACTCGGCCTGGTAACCGCTCTGTACTCACCTGGGCGTCGCCTAGAATGCGGCGCACTAGCGCCATCAGGCCGCCGTGGCAGGCGCTGGCATGCTATCCCCCACCTCCCCTCCGCCTCATTTTTCCTCGCTCCGTGACACCTGCCACACGCTCTTTACTGTTTCTATTCACCTCTAAACTTTCAATACAAATTGAAACTATTCTACTTTGTCGTTTGGCTCCCTTTGTTCGCGGGCTGCGGGCTGCTGAGTTGATGTACGCTTTTGAGATTTACCTGTAACAAAATTAAACGTTGAATGAAATTTCATGTTCATGAGTACAGTCTTACGTATGTCTCTATTTAATTAATTAAAACGTAATTCAAGTTAGTGTTACAAGATCAAAATTTTAAAAATATTGTTTTTTTTTCGGAATCTTCGATTTAAATTAAGAAACCTTTGTTTATAGGGAATAAAGGTAAAAGAAGATTCCAGAAATTACTTTATAACCTTCGATCAACCATTTAGAATGGATTTTACAGGCAAAAAAAAAACTGGTATTTTTACCAGTTTTCCTACAGTTAAAATTATTTTTATGACTCAGTATCGCATTTATTTCTGACGTTTGGAATACTTTATAGATTCCGTGCTCACGGAAGATTGATTTGTTTTTGGAATACGTCTATTATTAATGTTTTTACTGTAGTGCCTATTGTAGTGTAACAAATAAAAAGAAAAAAATTGCAACGGAGCGCGTTTGTTATTTGGCATTCAACTACGGTAATCCTTTAAAAAAAAATTAAATTATTTGAAAATCAAAGTCTCGAAATGCCGCGAAAGAATGCTTCGAACAATGAATAAATATTTCAGAACACAAATAACTTTTATACATTACGAAATCTTAATAACGTCTTTATTAGTTTAATTAATATTTGTATAGTCAAAAATACATTGAAAAAATCATTATATAAATAACCGTCAGCGTCTTCAGCGACACAAAAGACTTGTCTTTGACTAGTCTGATAGCTTCCTTTCGCACCGCCACCTCACAATGGAGCAGAAAAAAGAAAAGGGTTCGTTGATATTGTCCGTAACAAGAAAATCCGTCTTCTATACTAATATTATAAAGAGGAAAGATTTGTTTGTTTGTATTGAATAGGCTCCGAAACTACTGAACCGATTGGAAAAATTCTTTCACTGTTTGGAAGCTACACTATTCCCGAGTGACATAGCCTATAAATCTTTTTTGAAAATTAGGGATCTTTACTAAAACTTCAATAATATAACCCAAGGTGTAAAATAATTACCTAAAATATTCTTTACATCGCATGCCCTGCAAAAACTATTGATGATAGAATAAAATAATGTACTACGACGTTGTAGAACACATTATTATTTACAAAAAGTGTCGCGACAGCATATGTCTTTGTAGTTATGCCGCAATAAGTGCTCTTTTATTTAAAAAATTAAAACAACCTCAAAATTTAATATCGTTGAAATTTTTGTTAAAGGCCCGAGCGGAGCCGGAGCGGGCCGCTAGTGTACAATAAAACCAGTCATTTATTGAACGTTGAAAAATCTTTTCTCAGATTATTCGCAGCCGGTGCAGATAATTATTAACAAGGCAAGAACGAAATCGCGTTACATAACACGTAATCTTCTACATTATTGAACTGGCATTCGGAGTCGTGAAGAAAAGTTTTTTTTTTTTTAATTTCAGAGCTTTCCTCTGACGAACAGTCAGAGCAAAGGTTTTAAGGCGGTAATTTGTGAAGTGAGGCTTGTTAAGCCCATCCGCTCCAGTTATTGGCCGCAAAATTGATTAAAATTCCAGCCGCGTAAGGGAGACTCATCTACTTTTTTTTATTAGATTGCGTTCAATGTAGGCCGTCGTGGCGAGTTTCTGTTTTTTATTTCTTCCCTATTCTGTGCGGTTCGACAGTGTAACAAGTTCAGTATTCATTCAATTGAAGGGGACGAGTTCTCGAACAAATATTTGTCTTATTTTGAACGGACTTCGTCAAGAAACATTGTAGTAAGTACGTGATCCGGACTCTTCCGAACAACTTATCGTGCGTGACCGGCAAAAAGTCAATAAGCAATTTTGATGCGGGTCCGTTCAGCCCGGAACGTACTCACGGTGACTGCCGACCGCTCGTTTTTCGTTCAGATTTATTCAAACAAAGACAAGATCGAACTTAGAAAAAAATATATTTTTTTTAGGAAATAGTTTTTTATTTTTCGTTGCTTAGATAGGTGGACGAGCTCACAGCCCACCTGGTGTTAAGTGGTTACTGAAGCCCGTAGACATCTACAACGTAAATGCGCCACCCANCGGAACGTACTCACGGTGACTGCCGACCGCTCGTTTTTCGTTCAGATTTATTCAAACAAAGACAAGATCGAACTTAGAAAAAAATATATTTTTTTTAGGAAATAGTTTTTTATTTTTCGTTGCTTAGATAGGTGGACGAGCTCACAGCCCACCTGGTGTTAAGTGGTTACTGAAGCCCGTAGACATCTACAACGTAAATGCGCCACCCACCTTCAGATATAGTTCTAAGGTCTCGTATAGTTACAACGGCTACTCCTCCCTTCAAACCGAAACGCGTTACTGCTTCACGGCAGAAATAGGCAGGGCGGTGGTACCTACCCGTGCGGACTCATAAGAGGGCCCACCACCAGTAAACAGTTCCAGTACCAGTTCTGATATACGTTATCGAATACGCGTTTGTACTTAAAACATAGCTTACTTCAATGAATGAAAATGTTGCGCTTTCCACGTCTAATTCCAACGTTTAAACGACAGCCATTTCTCACTCCGAAGACACATTTCTCTTTTAACGCAGCGGAAACTGGGACAATTTAACGGTGCTCTAATTTAAATCAATATACCTACCTGGCGTTTCATTTAGATTTACCTCCTCTCCGTTAGCGTAAAGAGTCGTCACGTCACGGATGCAGTGTTCATCAAAGTAATTGCGGAGTTTCATTAAAAATCCTAGCACATCCTTCAAGATTTGCATAAAAAGGTCTCGAGGCTTTGAGAGCGAGGCCCAAGGGTTCGTATACATTAAGCCTATATTTAAATGTCACTAAGTTCGGAAAATGTCACGTTTGAAGAACGGAACTTAATACAGAGCATCGTGTTTGACGCTACTTTTGTATTACATTGGTTATTTGATGGTTTGAAGGAAAAAACAAAGACCCAAATTGCTACTCTTTTTTTTTTGTTGCTTAGATGAGTGGACGAGCTCACAGCCCACCTGGTGTTAAGTGGTTACTGGAGCCCATGGACATCTACAACGTAAATGCGCCACCCACCTTGAGATATAAGTTCTAAGATCTCAGTATAGTTACAACGGCTGCCCCACCCTTCAAACCGAAACGCATTACTGCTTCACGGCAGAAATAGGCAGGGCGGTGGTACCTACCCGCGCGGGCTCACGGGCAAGAGGTCCTACCACCAGTAATTACGCAAATTATAATTTTGCGGGTTTCACTTTTATTACACAATGTTATTCCTTCACTGTGGAAGTCAATCGTGAACATATTTTGTTGAGTACGTATTTCATTAGAAAAATTGGTACCCGCCTGAGATTCGAACACCGGTGCATCGCTCAACACGAATACATCGGACGTCTTATCCGTTAGACCACGACGGATAAGACGTTTCGTCTGCCTATAGCACAATAAAAAAAAAGAGTGGGCCGTAACCTCAATCATTTACTATTAAAAAAGGTAAGTTGTCGGCTAAATGGTCCCCATACCACTTACGCCTACGACAGTTTAAAATTATACACAAAAGTACCCTTTCAAAGTGTAATATAATAATGTGAATTACCAAATATCACATGACACAAACAAGCGAGAATCGTCCGGGCTCCAGCGAGGCATAATATAGCTAGAGCAAGTTCTGCGCAGTACTTCGTACCACGTTTGGATACTTCATATATTCATACTTTAATTAAAACGAAGTCAAAGCTTTACGACACAAGTTGAAAGACAACATTTACATTAACGTGATGTTAGTTAAAACATAATTTTGAGAGGAAATGCACGATTTCAGTACCGTATAATTTTGTATGTTTGTGAATTTTTTATATTATATAATTTACTGGTGGTAGGACCTCTTATGAGTCCGCACGGGTAGATACCACCACCCTGCCTATTTCTACCGTGAAGCAGTAATGCGTTTCGGTTTGAAGGGTGGCGTAGCTGTTGTAACTATACTGAGAACTTATATCTCAAGGTGGGTGGCGCATTTACGTTGTAGATGTCTATGGGCTCCAGTAACCACTTAACACCAGGTGGGCTGTGAGCTCGTCCAACCATCTAAACAATAAAATATATATATATTACGGCTTCTTTCATTACATGGATTACAAATGGATTAACGATCTAGATGTTGAGTTACCGTAGTCCATACATGTATATCCCAAGGAAAATATCGCCACAAGCTGTGAAATATTGGGTAGAAAAATTTGGTTGCAGAATATCTGTCCAACCTTTCAAAGAGAAAATCTGACTACACTTGTACGTCGCGTCAAGAATATCATCAGTAAAATCGAATTCGAAAGATTGGAATGAATTAAAAAATTAAAAGGATCCGCAACCGTTTATTATTGATTAGATTTTTAATTCCAGGTATGGGTATCGTGCCCATTTCAACAAAAAGCTGGATTCATATATTTACGTTTAAATAGGTAATTCGACCTCAACACACAAATTGGGTAATAGCTTTCCTGATAGAGTCTACAGACTTTGGTCACACCTACAGCCAGGTAAACCCTAAACTGAATCGTCAATTCACGACAATAAAACCTTTAGTCGACCAAATTTTAAACGAAGTTTAATTCGCAAATCCATTAGGTACTGTAGTCATTTTTTTGTGTGTTCTTTGTTTGGATGCGAACAAAGAGAACAAAGCAAATTAAGGCTATACATGACAGTAATAGTCCATTAATACTTTTTTCTTTTATCAATACAGTATATGGTTGAGGTTTCGGTATGTTTCATTGGGGCACGCAAGTAATGTTTGATTGAATTTTAAATGAATGAAAAGTAGTTTCAGTCACTTAAATAGCAGCAGATGGGGAGCTAATTTTTTTTAATTTTTTTTTTTATTGCCTTTGTAGGCATACGGGCATACGGCCCACCTGATGGTGAGTGGTTACCGTCGCCCATGGACTTCAGCAATGCCAGGGGCAGAGCCAAGCCGCTGCCTACCGCTTAATACTCTCCACAAGCCTCGTTTGAAGAAGGACATGTCATAGCGCTCGGGAAACACCG